TCAGAAAATGAAGAGGAATTAAGAAGTCTCTTGATGAGTGGGGAAAAGGAGACTGTAAAAGCTGGTTTGAAGGTTAACACTCAAAAAACTAAGATCTTGGTGACTGGTTCCATCGCTTCCTGGCAAATAGAGGGAGAAGAAATGGAACAGTTGTCAGATGTTATATTCTCAGGCTTAAAGATCATTGCAGATGGCAACTGTAGCCATGAAAGTAAAAGGCATGTGCTCCTTGGAAGGAAAGCTATGGCAAATCTGGACAGCATACTAAAAAACAGAGATATCACCTTGCCAACAAAGGTCCATATAGTCAAAGCTACTGTTTTTCCAGTAGTAACATATGACTATGAGAGTTGGACTATAAGTAAAGCTGAGTGCCATAGAATCGACACTTTTGAATTGTGGTTCTGGCAAAGACTTGAGCGTCCCTTGGACAGCAAGGAGATCAAATCATCAGGGTAGCTAGGTGGCACAGTGGATATATCCCCGGCCCTAGAGTCAGAAGGACCTGAGTTCAAATCTGGCCTCAGACACATAACACTTACTAGCTGTGTGACCCTGGGCAAGTCACTTAACCCCATTGCCTAGACCAAAAAAAAAAAAGATCAAATCAGTCAGTACTTAAGAAGAAATTAATTCAGACTATTCATTGGAGGGTTAAATTTCACTCAAGCTGAAATTTAAATACTTTGGTCACATAATGAGAAGACAGGACTCATTGGAAAAGATACTGCTGTTAGGAAAGATTAAAGGCAGAAGGTAAAGGGGATGGCAGAGGATGAGATGGATAGATAATGTCATGAAAGCAATGAACATGAACTTGGACAGAATTCAAGAGATAGTGGAGGAGAGAAGGGCCTGGCATACTATGGGCCATGGAGTCACAAAGAATTGAACACAACTGAACAACAACATTTAAAGATACTCTGCAGCTCTGAGTAGTATGTCAGAGTTGTGGGAAAATGGACTAATTAGGTTTCTGTTTTAGTATAATTTTTTCAGTGAATAAAAATCTCTAATAATAGCTAGACTTTATGTAATTTTTTTTGACTAGGCAATGGGGTTAAGTGACTTGCCCAGGGTCACACAGCTAGTGAGTGTTATGTGTCTGAGACTGGATTTGAACTCAGATCCTCCTGACTCCAAGGCCAGAGCTCTATCCACTGTGTCACCTAGCTGCCCCAATTTATGTAATTCTTTAAGGTTTTCAAGGTGCTTTGCAAACATCTCATTTGATCTTCATAACAACTCTGGGAGGTAGGAGCTGTTATCATCCCCATTTTACAGATGAGGAAACTGAGTCTGAGAGAAGTTGAATGACTAGTCCAGACTCACACAGTTATCTTGTCTGAGGCAGGATTTGAACTCAGCCTTTCTGGCTCTCTACTACCACACTTTATACGCTGTGCTACTTAGCATCTCCCTGTTGGAGGGGTGGAAACCCAAACTCTGGTGACATGTGTATAGCAAAGTTTTTTGTCTTTACGTTGTTGTGGTTTGTATGAATTCTTCTCCTAGTTCTGTTTACCTCATTCTGCATCAATTCATACAAGTCTTCCCAAGTGATTCTGAAATGATCCCTTTCAGCATTCTTATAGCACAATAATATTCTACCAATTCACATACCATCATTTCTTCTGTCATTTCCCAGTTGATGGGGGCACCACCTTATTTTCCAGTTTTTTGTCACTATGAAAGAGCTTCTGTAAGGACTGATGAAGGTTTTAACTGTTCCAAAGCCCTGCCTGGTTTCTAATAGAAGTAACCAAGGAGTGATGAAATTGCCTCGTTCTAAGAGGAGTTTTAGGAAGTTGGAGACAGAGAAGATGGTAAGGACCTAATGGTGTACAAAGTAGAGGGTCAGTACCTGGATAATCAAGTAGAATATTTTGCAAACAAATTTTACATACCGCTGTACCTTATCTGGTTTCAATGTCAGTTTTCCTTGGAAACGGAGAAGGGGGCAGGGAAAAGTCACTCCCAATGGTTTGTGCCATTCCCGAAAACAATAACCCCAGTTTGTTACTTTTTCTAGGGCTGGCACATAGGTGAGAAATGTAAATTCAGGAGAAAGAAGGCATACTTACACTTTAAAGTGGAGGAAATTAATAGGGAAGAGGATGCAGAAATAGCTTTAGATTAGGTGATTTGATTGAGTATCCCCGTCTACTCTTTCTGCTATTATTGTAATATAAAGAATTTTGAATGCGCCACATTTAACATAAGGAGTTCTTTTTTGGCAGGAACGGCCAGCAAAGGTCAAAGCCTTTATTAAATTGCTTTCTTTATGACTGGGGACACAAAGAACCAGAAATCAGACTGGAATTCTAGCAAGGGCTAGAGAAATCATGAAAGGCTCCAGGGGACTGAGCCCTGCCAATGTGTGCATCTTTAGTAAAAGAAAACCATTTCAGTAGGTTCCTAGAAGTTTCCTATACATACAGTAATGTATTTGAAAGCAATTGCTTCAAACCATGTTTTTTTTTGTTATGAATTCTGGGAATTTGTGATCCCAGTACTATTTGGGCCAGAATCTTTGGGTGGGCATCGAGCATTACTGAGCCAGCTCCTGGAGGTGTAGCACTCTTTGAAAGGGGATGTTGAAGGACTGTGTGATTCATTAGACTTCACCACACTGTGGAAGAGGTTGGTGTATCAGTGGAATGCTTTGTGCCATTCCTGAAAACAAAGGCATAAACTCAGCTGCAGGTTAGAGTTGTTACCCAGAATCTTAGAGCTGGAAAGTAGCATCTGGTCCTTTCCTTTAAGATCATGTAGTAATAAAATGGCAGAGCCCAGACTCAAACCAAGGTCTCTTTCCCTCAAGAAGATGCCCATCTCGCAGTATGAAGCCACCCCTCCTTGGATGTAATGAATCCTTTTGAAAGGTTTTGATATTTTCACTCTGGCTTTAAGACTGGCGGGCTATGGGAATTTTGGCCTTTGTCATGGAATGTTTTGCATTATATATAGAAAAGGGAGTAGACTTGTTTTGGTTGGCACCAAAGGACAAAAGTAAGAGCAGTGGGTGGACACTGCAGAGAAGTAGATCGGGACTTAATGTCACTAAGATTCTAATTCTTTTTTTTTAGGCAATTGGGGTTAAGTGACTTGCCCAGGGTCACACAGCTAGTAAGTGTCGTGTTTGGTCTGAGGTCGGATTTGAACTCGGGTCCTCCTGACTTCAGGGCCAGTGCTCTATTCACTGCGCCACCTAGCTGCCCCCTAACATTCTAATTCTTAAGAATTAGAGTTAGTCATTTGTGTAATGAACTGCCTTCGGGCACAGCTAGGTGGAACACTGGAAAGTCAGAAAGACCTGCATCTAAATCCAGCTTCAGACACTTACTAGTCATGCGACCCAAGGGAAGTAACTTAACCTCTGCCTCAATTCACTCATCTGTAAAGTGGGGATAATAATAGCAGCCATCTCCCAGGGTTGTTGTGAAGCTAAAATAATATTTGAAAAGTGCTTTACAAACCTTAAAGTGCTATAAAGATGCTAGCTAATATTATTATTAGTGGGTTCTGCTTCTCTGGAAGTCTTTACAAGTTTTATTGATGTCATTTTTACTTCACTCTCACTTCCAACTGACTTCTCCCATCATCTTAGGCTGTGCAGTAGAACCCTCTTTTGTAACAACGTATTAAGTTAAACAAATTAATCCCATTGGTCATATCCGACAATGTATGGCTCTTTCTGTCCCTGTAGTCTGCCGCCTCTCTGACAAGAGACAGGAGTTTTTCACTGCAGGACTTCAAGAAGTGTCTGAATTTTGTTGGGAAAGTTGCTGATATTGGGGAGGGGGAATATGGAGGATTCCTGTTCAGTTATGGCTTGCAGCAGTTGTATTCTGAGGTCCCTTCCAACAATGACATTTTTTTGATTCGGTACAATTATTGAGACTTCATTTTGTTTATGTGTGTAGTATGTATTGATCGAATCCATGAATTGTAATAATTATTGAGAGTAAAAATGACATCAAGCAGCATTTGGACTTAGTTTGTTTTGTTTTTTTTTTTCTTTTTTCCTCCTGGTTTATACCTACAGCTTCCTCCCATAGCAATCTGATTTTCATTTTAAAACAACTTTCCTTCCAAGGATGCCATTGAATCAATAGGTTTTTTTCCTCAGGGCCTGAATTGTTGATGCCCAATAGATTTTGGTTTCATAATACTTAGTTAGAATGTTCACTAGTGTGATGGTGAATTAAGTGTTTGGGGAAACACTTAGGGGCTCCTCACATTTGGAACGCAAGTGCAAATAACCACTGATGCATTTATTATGGTAATTTCTTGGGTAGTTACTCTTAAAAGAGTTTATATACGTCCCTAAGACCTTAATAGTAAGGACCACCTCTGTCCATGAAGGGAATCTGGGCCATTCAATACTTACAGTATTATTCCTGGTAGTAACATCATCATCATAATTATGGTTATAGCCAGCTTTTCATAGTTTGTATTATATGTCACTAATGCTCCCCAATAGACAGTAACAGCATCTGAAAATGACAGCAGAGGATTTGGAATACATTATGTAATGCCTGGGGAGGAGGGAAGGCACAAATTCTGCTTTTTCCTTGGACTAATATTAAAACCCATTTTTATTCTCTGAACCTATATCAGATCATGGAGGTAGAGCTAGAATGAAAGTGTAGCGTGTGGCAAGGGAAACCAGCCCCCCAGAAGCAGCAATGTGGTGTGGTGGGATTAGTTTAATTATTATCATCTATCCAGATTTATTCAGGATTGTGTAAGAAAGGACGAGGGTACTATAAAATAGGTGGTTTGGTTTTCAGGTTGTCTGATGTAGTTGAGAGAAAACAAGATTGTAATAGGGATGCTAGATAAGATAGACTTTCCTATCAGGTGAGTAACATGGGTAAAGATGGATTCCATTTAAAGTAAATAAGCTGGTTTGAAGTAAAACAATAACGTTTTAAAGCTCCATTGAAATGTGAGTTGTTCTTGTTATCCTTATTATTATTATTTTATTATTATAGCTATAAACCAATAGTAGAATATATCGATGCACAATTTGAAGCTTACCTGCAAGAGGAATTGAAGATCAAGCGTTCCCTGTTCAATTACCATGACACCCGAATTCACGCTTGCCTTTACTTCATCGCCCCCACTGGACATTCGCTGAAGTCCCTCGACCTCGTCACCATGAAGAAACTGGACAGCAAGGTACTCGCCCACACAAAACTGCATTCTTTCTAGGTCATCTCTGCCCTAAAACAGTTGTTCACAACTGTGCCCTCGGGGTCATTTGGACACTTTGTCTACAAGCAGTTGATTGGTTTTTTTGGTATCTGAGAAAAATCCCTCGAAACTCCTTCAAAGTTTTATCATGCAGTTTGTATTGTTGGATTAAGTTTTCAAGTCCAGCACTGTAAAAGCGTTGTTCTGCTAGTATGGAGCCATCTGATTCTGTCTCTGATAAAGTTGAGGAGAAAGATGTAAGGAAAACATGTAGAAATTTGGGCCATTAGAAGAATTAAAATCAGGTATTTGAAATGACAGACTCAGAATTTTTTTTTTTAGTCTTTAAAGAGAGTTTGTGTGTGTATATATTATACATTTATTTGTGTATGTGGGTGTGTATACCTATTTATGCACACATACACATATATACAGGCATGGGTGTGTGTGTGTGTTTGCATCAATTCAAGGTTTAGGGAAAACTAGATTTTTTTTTTTAATGGTTTCCTATCTGATAAGATCATACACTCTTATCACTCATTTGGGAGGGAGGCTGCATGGTATGGTATTCCTTTCACAACTGCAGAAAGCCACCCTTTTATAATCAAGGGTTTTCATGGATTACTGTGACTATGGCTGAAAAAAAATTAACCACTTGCTTCATGAAGAAAGAACCATGAGCTGTCCCATACTTGAATGTGAACCCTCTTCCTTTTGGTAAGACCTGCCAGAACCTGTGATCTGTTGGGATGGTCTTAAAAAACCCAGGGGCATTTCCTAGCCAAGATGTGGAAAGAGTACTGGATTTGACTCCAGTTGGAGGGCCTTGGTTCTGCCACACTTCTGTGTGACCTAAAGCAAGACCTCTAACCCTTCTGGGTATTGAGTTGGTCATCTTTGAAAACGCAGGGGTTGAACTAGACAGCCTCTGAATTCCCATCAGGTCTAGATCCAGTGACTTTAGTGAAGACATTTGGGATACGATAGGGAAGTGATAATCCTCTGCATATCTTCAAGCTAAGATGGCTTCTTATCTGGGAGCTGCCCCAGAAAAGGCCTTAAAATCAGGACAGGGCTCCTCAGATTTCCCCAGTGCATTGAATCAAAGGACCATTTGTTGGCCTGAAAGAATTAACCCAGCTTCCGTAATTCTTACTTACCTCTTGGGAAAGTTTGACTCGCTTTTAGTAAAATTTAAAACTGAAGCTCTACTCCACTACCATGTGAGCTCAAGCTGGTAGAACCCATTTCTTATAGCTCCATATTGTGTGAGTGCTTGAGATCAGGGCAAAGATCTCTGTAGAGTAGGGATAGAGAGCTTATTACTCAAAGCACAGCCTGTTTAAGTCTCATTCACACAACACAGGGACAGCTGTACGTAGTCAGCACACCTCTAGCCATTTTCCCCCTGAAGTATTGTTAAACCAGAAAAATGAAGTGGATTACCAAAGGTGGCAAAAAACCAAAAACCTAGAGTTGGTTTTTTTCCTGCCTTAGCTTCACCCTGCATTCCACAACCCTCCCAGCCCAACCAAAATGATTCTACATAGCAAAGTTGAAAAACAAGCAGCCTGACTTTCAGGGATTTGGAGGTTAGTAGGGGCATACTGGAAAGAACCCTGGATTTGAATCTATAGGACCTTGCCTCAGATTCGTAGCATCAGCTCAGCTCTGTGATCTTGGGGAAGCCATTCAACCTCTTAGGGCCTCAGTTTCCTTATGTATAAAGTGAAGGAGATGAACTAGGTAATCATCTTTTTTCTTCAAACTTCTACTTTGAGGAAAAAGAGAGGGCTTTGATCTGAATTATTTAGATTAATTTTCTATTCCAATAAAATTCAACAGGTCATTCACTCAACTCTCTTTGCTTTGTCTCTCACCAAAGGGATCCTCTTGGAGTATTCTTTTTTTTTTAAATCGATAAACAAAATTCTTCCTTTCTTTTGAGGCAATCAGGATTAAGTGACTTGCCCAAGGTCACATAGCTAGTAAGTATCTATGGCCGATTTTGAACTCACCTCCCCCTGACTCCAGGGCAAGTGCTCTCACTGCACCACCTAGGTGCCACTTAACTGCCCCCTGGAGTATTCTTGCTAAAAAAAAAAAGACGAGCAAACAAACAAACAAAAAAACATTCTGACTAGAAAGTTCTTGCTGCAAAGTTATGTCTGCCTTTTTTCCTCATCCTGCAACATGCCGGAGGAAGAGGGTGAATGCTTAGTTTATGAATAGTTAAAGATGTTTTTTATGATTGTTATTAGTATAGTAACATAATTAATAACATGAGATAAATAAAATAATAATATATGTTGTTATAATGTGATACAATGTAACACATGATGTTATTATGTTATAACATACCACACACATATTAGTGTTAACATTAACATATGTTGATATTAACATTTATTAGCATGCCTGCCTCCTCACTGCCATTGACCAGCAGCTTGCAAATCGTGCTCCTTAAGAAAGCATAGATTTGGGGGCAGCAGTGGATAAAGCACCGACCCTGAAGTCAGGAGGACCTGAGTTCAAATCCAGCCTCAGACCAAACACGACACTTACTGCTGTGTGACCCTGGGCAAGTCACTTAACCCCAATTGCCTTAAAAAAAAAAGAGAGAGAGAGAGAGAGAGAGCATAGATTTTGATCTGGAAGGGTCCTCAGAGGAAGGCCGTCTACTACAGTGCCTTATTTTACAAATGAGGAAACTGATACTACCAAAAGATTAAGGAGCTTGTCCAAGGTGATACAAGTAATGTATGCATATTGGGAATTCAGATTCAAGTCTGCTCACCTCCCATTTAGAATCCTTTCCATTGTGTCACACTGCCCCCCTAAGGATCAAAAGGGAATCGAATGAGGAGAGCTCGCCTCCTCTTTACCTTTCGGTCTTCATTATGTTCTTGTCATCTGATTGACTTTCCACTAGAACTGTAATAAAGATAAATTGCCAAATGTCGGTAACAGATCCCAGGTTGAGTCTCTTTTCCCCTCCCAGTGGGTGAAAGAAAATGCACTGTTAATTTTGGAAAGTGAATATTAGAAATCTGTAGGTGTGTTGTCAGTAACCAAGTGAGACAAATATACTGTCAGTGTTTCAGGGCTTTATACAAAAATAATACAGACAAAGGTCTCTCTTACAGACCTCTTGTCATGTATGTCAAATTTTGTAAAATTCAAGAGAATTTTCTCTTTGTTTTAGACAGTATAGAGTGACTTTTTTTCTTTTTAATATGTATTTTGTTGATATGTTTTTTACATCATTTTGATATCCAAATATATCCACATCTCTTCCCCTTCCATATAGATTGGATCTGATAGAATGTGTAGTGGTCTATACCCATAGTCCTTCACTCTTTCCAAAAAAAAAAAAAAGAGGGATTTTTTTCCTCTCTTCTTCAGGGCCTAGCTTGATTATTTTGATTGCACTCTTCAGTTTCTGAGGCATCTTATCATTTTTCCCATTTACATCATCAGAGTCATTATGAATGTTGTTTTACTGTTTCTGCTTCCCTCATTTCACACCAATTCATACAACTCTTCCCGTGTCACGAAAATGTTCAAGTTGCCGAGACTATTTTCATTCTGATGAATGCTTGTTTGTTTTTCCTAGCATTTTTAGGCAATCAGAAAAGAGAACTGATTGCTCAGTCTCTAGTGTGTTTGGTTTTAGTCCCCTTAAAAATACTGCCTGCTGTGCTGCTGTAATTCTCAGTTCACGCTGCAGAGATCCCCAAGAACAGATGGCCATCATTCCCTTTAGAAGGTAGAGCAGAGAGCTCATTTGCCAGCACAGGTCTTAAGAATGGGTGGGTGGTTTCTTTCCTGTGTTACAGTGGTTTGTCACTGACTGACTGACAACACTTCCTCTCTAGCCTTTAGAAGAAGAAAAGAATGACTCGCACCAGGGAGGAAATGGCAAGTCGTTCCAATGTATCAAACTGTAGCTCCCTGAAGTCAGAGTAGCTTAACCCTTTTCTCGAAGGAAGGAATGAAGGAGTTAAATCACAAGGAGAGGAGAGGAAATAACAGATCAAATGTCTTACTAATTTGCATTTCAGGAGATGATCTGATATTTACTTGGTATTTCTTTTCAGGGTTGTTGTTGGTTGTTTTGGTTTTTTGGGGGGGCCGCTTTTCATTCGTCTGATCTATTGCTTCTATGTCTTTCTAAACCTGTTGTGGTCTAAAATGAATTTTTCTTTTAAATCGTAGGTGAACATCATCCCCATCATAGCAAAAGCAGATACCATTGCCAAAAATGAGCTGCACAAATTCAAGAGTAAAATCATGAGTGAACTTGTCAGTAATGGCGTTCAGATATACCAGTTCCCTACAGATGAAGAGACGGTGGCGGAGATTAACGCGACAATGAGTGTAAGTTGGCCTAAGAGAATGAATGCTTGTACCAGTTAGCATCCTGAGTTGCAAACAGCTTGGTGTGAGGTGTGGGGTGTGGGGTGCAAGCAAACCACTCAACATCCGGTCAGAACTGATTTCCATACCCTGAGCTGAAATAAACTTGCTCTTTGACCTTGGATGAGCCGCTTAGCCCCTGTGCCTCCATTTGCTCATACATAAAATGGGAGAGTTGGATAAACTGAGGTCCCTTCCATCTTGAATGTTTTATGATGTCTATGACTCATTTGGAAAAAATAAAAGGAAACTACCAAGCCCAGCGTTCTATAACTGGCCCCCTACATGTCTGACTGCTCCTTCGTAGTCTCCTTTGCTGGCTCTTCTTCCAGAACATATCCACTAACTGTGGGTATGCCCCAAGGCTCTGTCCTGTCCTTCTTCTATGCCATCTCACTTAGGAGTCTTGGTGATCAGCTTCCATGGGATCATTTATCATCTCTATAGATGATTCTTGGGTCTACTTATCCAGCCCTACTCTCTCTCCTGACCTCCAGTCTTGTACCTTTCAAACTGTATGTCCTACAGACTTTTCAAACACGGCAGAACTCCTCGTCCCTCCCCCTCCCCCAAGGCCTCCCCCTTTCCTAACTTCCTTATTACTATTGAATGTATCACCAGCCTCCCAGGCACCCAGGCTCCATTCAGCGGCCAGAGTGATCTTCCTAAGGCATTGGTCTGACTATGGCACACACACACCCTCCGCTATTCAATAAACTCTTCCTGGCTCCCTTTTAATTCCAGCATCAATGATAGAAATCTTCTGTTTGGCTTCATAGCCTGGTCCCTTCTACCTTTCAAGTCTTCTTCCACCTTACTTGTCTCCACATACAGTGGACAATCCCATCCAGTGACAGTGGCCTCCTGGTTCTTCCTCGCACACGACACTCCCATCTTCTGACTCTCTTCCTTTTCGTTGGCTGTCTCTCATACCCAGAATCCTCCCAGCCCTCATCTCTGCCTCCTGGATTGCCGGGGTGTTCTTCATGACTCACCTCAAATCCAAGAAACCTTTCCTGCTTCCCCCACCCCCAAACAGAGCCGCTGCTGGTGCCTTCTCTCTGAGTTACCTTCCGTCCACTTAGTCTTTGTCTTGTACCTCCAAAATTGTTTGTCTCCCCCATTAGACCATGAGAATCTTGAGGGAGCTTTTGGTTTTGGCCTTTCTTGATATCCCCAGTGCTTAGCACAGTGCTCAGCACATAGGAAATGCTTAATAAATGCTTGTTGTGTGATGGACTGAAAGGAAATGGGCGTCTGCCCTCCTTCCCTCCTGCCTGGTGGTGGACAACTCTCTATCTGTCTCTCAGAGTGTCTCAGATCGTCTTCCCTTCCCCTTTTCATCCTGTGTTCCACCCTTTCCTGTGTTGTTAGGTGAACAAGCATTTGAGGATATGGTTTTCCCTTACACTAATAAAACCATCCAGATCCTCGACAACACATCATTTCCCACGTGTCCCCATAGAGGGCCCCCTTCTTGCCATTTGACACCTCAGTGATTTATTGCTTCTGTTTGTCGCATCCAGTAGACTCATGTACCTATGTCATCTACTGAACAGAAAAGATCTATGCCATTATTGTATGGATAATGCCTTGCCTCTAGGTTTTCTTTTCTTAATTCCGTTTTTCCCTAGGCAGCTGGTGGCACAGTGGTTAGAACATTGGGCATGGAGTCAGGACAACCTGATTTCAAATCCAGCCTCAAATACTTACCAGCTGTGTGACTTGGGGCAGATCACTTAATCTTTGTTTGCCTTAGTTTCCTCATCTGAAAATTGGTGTTAATATCAGCTACTCCACAAGGTCATTGGGAGGATCAAATAAAATCCTATTTGTAAAGGCACTTTGCACAGTGCATGGCACATGGCAAACGCTATGTCAGTACTTATTCCTTCCCTCCCTACGCTTGCATAAAAAGTAGTTGCTACCTCTGAGCATATGCCAAATGGCAGCTCAGAAGTTTGCAGGGTGACCGGAGAAACCCGTTTAGAATTTTAAATCCTAGATGGACACAAGTGTTCTTAACTTTCTGCAGTAGGGGGAGTCAAAAAGAGCATGTATAATTTTAATTGAATCTCAATTTAAATGTTTAAAAAGGTACCATGGTGAAACTTTTTGTGAATCAAATAATGTTTGAAAATGTGAACAATCCCTGACTAACCTATCTTTTTCTTGAACCTGCATTTTCTTTTTCTTTTTTTATTCTTTATTTATTTTTTGGTTAGGCAATGGGGTTAAGTGGCTTGCCCAGGGTCACAAACCTGCATTTTATAAAATCATAAAATGTCACTTTAGGAAGCAATCTGATTCATTTTACACATGAGGAAACTGAAGCCCATAGAGGGAGAATATGTGTCTCCTTATTCCCAGTGCCATTATTCTTGCCTACCAAATAGCCAGGGTCCCAGAGTTTGTCCAGGACCAAAGGATTCTGGGCCCGGATTCTTTTTGTTGCTTTAATTTGTCTAATGGCCTTCCTGTATGAGAATCTGTTACCTTCACAGAGCAATTTCTTCCTTAAACAGTTGCCAACATAAATGAGACTTAACAGGGCTTTACTTTTTCATCCTGTGTGTTTAATAATATCATTTTAGGGATCCTTTATTATTTTAAATGAACTATACCTATGTGCTGTTTGGTGGATATTTATACTATGGTAGAAAAGCTGAGGCTGAGTTTTTATCAATGATGAAAATTTTGATGTTCTTCCTACCCCTAACCCCAATTAATGAAGTAAACCTCCTAGTGGTTGAATTTCCCAGAGTCTCAAGCAAAATGAATCCTAAGTGGGACTTGAATCAAATCCTTCCTGACTCTGAGACTGGCTCTCTACCCACTTCGACATCCTCGGAATTATGATATTGATCTGAATTTAGGCTGTACTTTTCTCCAAAATCTGACTTATAGAAAACCCAAGAGTGGCCTATAATCAGTGATATGATGCATGTACATCCAAAACCGGATGGGATAGTTAATCAAGCATCTGTTAAATGCTGGAAGGATGGTGGTGCCCTTGAAAGCATTAGGAAAGTTTGGCAGAGGGATAGGTTTGGGGGGAAAGGGAATGGAGTTTCATTTTGGACACATTGAGGTGAGGTGGAGATAGTTATGGAATGTCCAGTTCAAAATGTTCGCTGGGCAGTTGGTAATGCAGGAACAGTGCTCTTTTGGAGGTAGGGCTAGATATCTAGATCTGGGAGTCAGCTGTATAGATGTGATCATTAAACTCTATTTTTCCCCTATAACATCTATTAAACTAAGGATTTTAGACTGAGTCCTCTAGACTATATGTGGAATTTGAGGTCACCAAGGGAGAGTAGATAAAGAGGGGGAAAAAAAGATGGCTAGTCCACGGCCTTCAGATACACACAGAGTTAGGGGGTTGGATTAGAATGATGAGGTAGGAGAAGGGATAGTGGAGGAGCAGTGAGACAGGTAGGAAAAGAGCCATTAGAGAGCAGTGTCATGAAGACACTGAAACAAGGGCACTCAGAGGGACAAGAGAGGAAGTGGAGGCATTGGGTGTAGATGGCTTTTCCTAGGAGTTTGACGGTGAAATAAAGAAGAGATCTGGAACTTGAGAGGATAGCGGGGTCTAGTGAGAGTTTTACTTTAAGGATGGAGGTGATGTAGGCTGAAGGAGCCAACAGATAGTGAGAAATTAATGATTGGGAGAGAAGAGGTTGATAGTGAAGGCTATCTGCGGGAGAGGGGAGGGAAGGAGATCGAAGGGTTGTAGAGAGATTGGCCTTGACGAGGGGAGCCATCTTTTATCAGAGACTGGGCAAAAGGAAGCTAGAATGGAGATGATGCCGAGCAGTTTCGAGATGTAGAGAAGGGGAAAAGAGAGAATTCACAAAGCATGGTCTGTTTTCTCCATAGAGTTTGAGTCTAGACCTTTAGCTGGGGTGAAAAGGGGAGGAGAGAGGGGAAAGAGTGAAAATGTGAAAGGCTGAAGCAAAAAAAGAGTCATTGACTAGCCTCTGTGTGCAATGAGATAGAAAATCAATTAGGGAAGATTAAAATGATATAAGGAGGGCCCAGTTGAAACTACATGACAAAATTGTAGTGGATTCGGTCATCTCAGTTGTAGGGTTTCCTCCGTGCCACCCAGTAGTATGAGAGTAGGAGCCTAAGTGGAGGATGTTGATGATATCCAGGATTGTGGTTGTGGCAAGCAGATAGAAGACAGTAGTGAGTTGAACTGGAAACTGCAATATGCCACATTGAACCTCTGGGACTTGTTTACACATATTACTTTCTTTTAAAAATTCATTTCAAATGCATGGTCTACATTCAGATCAATTCTAATATTGACTCTGGAAATTGCTTGTAGGATTGTGGAATCTTTTGGGGTTGAGGGGCGGATTCATCAGGTCATCCATCTTGTCTCACCCCCTATGGAATGAAAACTCCTTCAGGGACCATTTTCATCTTCCCATTGCCAGCCCTTAACACAGGACCTGGCTCCTCATGTAGGTGTTTAAGAAATGCTTATTTATTGATCCATTGATTAGGTACTCCTTGAAATTAATTAAAATTTTGTCTCACTTCTCCATCAACTAACAGCATTTCCAGTGACTAGAGCCCAGTGACATACAATTAATTTTTCTCTTGAAGAAGTGAGAAACCAAGTATCAGTAAGATTTTGACGTCTTTCTTTACATGGCCTCCATACTACTGTGCAGGTCATCTACATGCCTGAGTTCATTTTGGTCCTTAGCAAAAATATTCCCTCCTGGAAAGATCTTGTCATAAGAGCCCACATAAAGTGAAAGAGTGATCTTGGAACATTGATTTCTTTAGAGGTTGCTTTTGTTAGTACCATCTTCTAGCAAAAAAAATGTGAAGGATTGGGAGGGGGATACAACATCCCCTCAGGCATCCAGGTTAAACTGTTTAACAGAAACAGTTCTGTTGCCTGAAAGGCTGAATTGTTCTTTACAGAAAAGTTTCTTACAGATTCAATTTGGAATATGCAAGAAAGCCTGCTTTATTTTGTTCCTGTGATTTGGGTATCTGTGATATGTATTAAATATTTAGGAAAACTGAAGGCTGCTCAGTATTAAATTACAGGTTATTCTGGGAAGGTTGCGACTTAGGTATATCAGTCCTTTGGGAAGCAATGTCTAACTGAATGTCTAAATGTCTAAATGAAAATGCTAAATGAATGATGTGTAGAGAAGGGCATTAGCCAAGGAGAGGTTGTCTTCAAGACATTGCTATTTACTTATTTCTTGAATCTTCTAAATGCCTCAGTAGCTTTAGGACTACTAACTTTTTTTTTTAGCTCTGAGACTTCCCTCCCCACCCCCACTACCCAAATAAAAAAAGAAAAAAAGTGGTATATGGTATATATTTATTTTTAATGATTTTTAACTTTTTTGTCATTAAGTATTTAACAAATACCAGTTAACATAAGCACATTCTCATACAAAGAACATAGGTGATTGCACATGAACCCGCAAATCTCAACTGCAAACAGCTTGCCTCTTTTTACAGAAGCATAACAAATTCATCATGTTAGTTTCAAAGCTGTCTGGTTTGTTTGTAACCCCCTCTGAATGCTCTGTTCTTATGTGTTTTTTAAAAAACATTTTATCGCTCACATTCTTTTTCTCCCCTCGTTTAAAAATCCCTCCCTTGAATTGAGAAAAAACAAAACAAAAACCAACCTCTGTGACCCCATCGTGCAAAACCAATCCACACATTGTCCACATCCAAAAATGTGTTTCTCATGCTGCTTCTTACTTCTCTCACCTCTCTACCAGGAGGGTAGCGAGCTTTGTTGCTGGACCTCTGGACTCATGATTGATCATCGCACTGATCAGAGTTCTGCGATCTTTGGTTCCTTTCCTTTACGATATCGTACTCAGTAGTTCTAGTTCTGTTCATTACCCTCTGCCTTGGTTTGTACGTGTCTTCTTCTCTGAAACCATCCCTTTCAACACTTACTATGACATCTATGTTCTGTTACAATTCATAGACCATTTTTCCAACCATTATTCAACTGATGGACACCCCTCCCCCTTCTTTCAGTTCTTTGCTACCACAAAAAAAGAAACTATAAATATTTTTGAACACATGAACCTTTTTCTTTTGTTTTTGATTCCTGTGGAAGTATAAGCCTAGTAGCAGTGTCACTGGGTCAAAAAGGTATGCACAATTGAATATGTTTATTTTTTAAATTAAAGTTGAAATTAATCATATTTTGAGTTATTTTAAAGAACTCCACAGTATCTCTTAAGATAGTTCAAGAAACCCTAGAAGCATGGGGAGAGGGGCAGAATCAGAGTTAGATTCATTACCTCAAGACTAAAGAATAGCTTTTAAAACCATTTTGGATAATTTATAGTTAAAAGTGAAAAAGGTCAAAGGATGCAAATATTCAGCAAATATTACACAGGGTAGATGCTCCCTAGAAAAATTAAGGAAAAAAAATCAACTTGACCAAATGTTTTGGAATGGAAACTAGAATATAATGAATTTACTATTCTGAAAAACCTTCCTTTAGTTTAGTTTTCCTTATTGTCATGAAGAAAGGATACCACAAAACTGTTACTTTGGGTGATTGACTCCCTAATGTTAGCGCACTGTATGTATTTGATACACCATACGTGATATTCAGTTTCAAAACATTCTAAAAAACAAGCTGAATTGCCTGTTCCCCCCTCCTTAATTCTTCCAGATGCCCCACTAGGGAAGAGTTTGTTTTCCATGTAATGAGGCAGCATGCAGGAATGGAAAGATTGCCTGGCCCAGACACCTGAGCTGAATCTCAGCTTAACTCAGCTGTCACTGCTTACCTTCTTCTAGCCTTGGTTTCTTCATCTGGAAAATGGGGGTAATACCTAGAATGTCTACCTCACAATATGTTCTAGGGTACTCTAGTCAGGAAATCAATTTACTAATCCTTAAAGTTCTCTGCAAACTGGAGATGTCACTCTTTAGGAATGAAAGATATCTTTTTTAGGGAGGCTGCAGAAGGATCTCTGATGAAAATGATGATGGTGATGATGATGATGACATCTTTTATGCATTCTCTCTTTTCAGGTCCATCTTCCATTTGCTGTGGTTGGAAGTACTGAAGAAGTGAAGATTGGAAATAAGATGGCAAAGGCCAGGCAGTACCCTTGGGGTGTGGTGCAAGGTATGCCCTGGGAAGAAGGAGGGAGGGGCTGCCTGGGCACAGGAACACTGTTGGGGGCTCCTACGTAGCAGTAGGGCAGGATGTCGTGGATACTTCTTTCCAACCAATAATGTGTACAGGGCATTTCTAGGTTTCTGTGAGGGTGGAAGAAATGACCATAATGTGAATGGAAAATACTGAGCCTTCTCATTGCCAAATCAGATGGTGGAAAGCTTTAAAATCCTGCCTGACAAAGAGTACATTTCCCATAAAATGAATGAGCTTTACCAACACGTGCTGAGAAGACAATAGTCAGCTTCTGAATGAACAACCCCCAAAGCTCTGGCAAATTACTCATTGGCTTTCCTGATGCTATTTTCTGGGCTTCCTAAAATGTACTATTAATGAATATTTAAGTATCCTCAGGGGATCTAGCACTCTGCTACCATCTCTGTGTCAGGGCTACCAAGCATAGAGGGGAAAAAAAGTCCTTGACCATCAGTGAGCTTATAATTGTAATCCAAACAGGGGATTGTAGAGCAAACACTGACAATGTTTTCTTCATTTCTACCTCGGACTTTTTGAGTATAAATCCCCAAGATATTATGTGAAAAAGAGTGACCCAAACTAAGAATGTGCCCTCCAGGAAAGGCAAGACACTCAATGATTTGGTCAGTCAGATTGTTTTTATTTATTTAAATAAACATAGGTGTTTAGGTATTTCACTCAATTTCCTTCATCACTCAGTTGCAAGAGAGAGAAAGTGAAACCAGCAAGTATCTATTAAGTACCCACTATGTGCCAGGCACTGGGCTAAGTACTGGGATACAAAGGCAAAAACAGAGTTTGCTGTGAAGGAGCTCACAGCCTAATGGGGGAGACAATATGCAAGCAATTCTTTCGCTTGTTCTAACAAACTCCATACAGGATAAATTGGAGAGAATCTCAGAGGAAAAGCACTAAGGTTAAGAAAAAGTCCTCATACCACACATTGGAAATTACCTAAGTTCCCTGGAGGGGTGAGTTCCCAGCCTAACCTAATGATCAAACTATCCAAAACAATCTTACCGTCCTAAGATGGCGAGACAGTAATGGTAGATCAGAGGTCCGACGGTGCAGGGAGCTGGTCTCTGGCAGACAGACCGCTGGGTCTGTGGGTGGTCCAGATCCTCCTCCTTTGGGCTCCAGGAAGCTGGAAGCTCAGATGGGGTCTTTTTTCCAATCTTGGGCTTTCCCGGTTCTACTTTGCTTTAGCTTAGACTCAATCCTTAGCACAGAGCTGAACAGTTTAGTTATGGCAGGTTCACTGTGGCTCACTTTTAAGAGGGAACTCAACCAATCAGCGTGACCAAGGTTGTGTATGGCAGTATACAAGCGTACTCACATAGCACTTCAGAGTAACAATCATGTTTTCAGTAAAGAGCTCGTGATCATACATCAACACTTTGAGGTGACAGCATTTGGTCACACGCATCAGGTTATCAGCTCCATGCCATCTAGTTGTTTATATACTTGGTGGTTTGACGTGTGCGTTACAAATTCAGAATGGAGTAACTCAGGTCAAGCGTTCCTCCTGTGGGGAGCTGTTCTTGGGTTCAGCTGTTTGTCCAAGTCAGCAGTGTGGGTTCTAGATCTATGAGCCTGGACTGAGAACCCAGAACCCCAAACATAGAGTCACTTAGAGAAGACTGTGAATGCAGTCTTCTACCCAGAACATCAGGTTGGGGGGCCAGAAAGTCTCCCTGAGGAGCTAGGATTCGCTTCCCAAAACTCCCAGCTAGACCAGCTAAGCCTGGTTGCCCAGAGCAGATCATTAGAACGACTGAGCAAATAAACCAAAAACAGATTAAAGGCTATTTTGAAGCCGTGGATGCACAAGATATAAACCTCCAAAACACCTACAAGCAAAGCCTCAAAGAAAAAAATCTCTTGCCCAAGATAATTAGAATTCCTAAAAGAAATGATAGTGTTTTTAATCAAGTAAAATTCTATAAATGAAATGAGAAGGATAGAGGAAAGAACTGGAAAAGAAATGAGAGTTTTGGAGAAAACACTTGGAAAGACAATTAAAAGCTTTGGTACAAGAGGCACAAAAACTTTACTCAAGTAACAGACTCCCTGAAAATTAGAATGAATCAAACAGAAGTTAATGATTCCCAGAGACAATAAGAAATATTAAATGAAAACCAAAAGGTTAGAAAATAGAAGAAAATGTTAAATATCTCATATCAAAAACAACTGACGTAAAAAACAGACCACGGAGAGAGAATTTAAGAATCATTATACTGCCTAAAATGCATGAACAAATAAAAGGACCTATACTTTATGTTTCAAGAAATCAGGACAGAAAACTGCCTGGATTTCTTAGAACAAGAGGACAAAGTGAAAACAGAAGAACCATGGGGCAACTAGGTGGCACAGTGGATAGAGCGCTGGCCCTGAAGTCAAGAGGACCTGAGTTCAAATCTGGCATCAGACCAAACACTTGACATGTACTAGCTGTGTGACCCTGGGCAAGTCACTTTACCCCAATTGCTCCAAAATGAAAACTACAATGCACATCATAACCAAAATCCAGACCTTCTAGGTCAAAGAAAAAATAACACAAGCAGCCAGAAAGAAAGAGTTCAGGTACCAAGCAACCACAGTCAGAGTTAGACAAGATTTAGCTGCTACCACCATAAAAGAGCAAAGCACATAAAGTACAGTATTCCAGAAGGCAAAATATATAGGCTTGCAACCAGGAATAACTGAGCAAAAATGAGTGTAGTCCTCCAGGCAAAAAAATGGACCTAAACTGAGTAGAGGACTCCTGGCATTCCTGTTGAAAAGACTGGAGTCAAAAAAGAAAAAGAAAAGAAAAAAAGAAAAGACTGGAGTCAAGTAGAAATGCTTAAATACAAAGACAGGAGTAAAAAAAGTAAAAAAAAAAACAAAAACAAAAAAACCAAATGATTGGGAAAGACTTACCATGATAAATCATATGTGTTCTGATGTGGTAGAGGAAGGATGATGAAATCATCTGAGAATCATAAATGTCAGCAAAGGGTCATGTGGGAAGTCAGTTAGGATAGAGGACCTGCAAGTGATTTTTGTTATGATGTAATGATTTTGAAAAAAGGAAAGAACTTGAGTAGGGGTGAAGGGTGGTGATATACTAGAGAAGAAAACAGGAGGAACTAGGAGAAGTTATTATCGCGTATAATTGAAGAGCACAAGTAGAAGTCCATATAAACGGAAGGAGTGGGAGCAGGTGTCACTTGAACCTCACTTCTGATGAAGAATGAAGAGAACTTTTTTTTTGTTTTTTTGTTTTTTTGTTTTTTGGTGAGGCAATTGGGGTTAAGTGACTTGCCCAGAGTCACACAGCTAGTGAGTGTTATGTGTCTGAGGCTGGATTTGAATTCGGGTCCTCCCAACTCCAGGGCCAGTACTCTATCCACTGCACCATCTAGCTGCCCCAGAAGAGAACACTTTTGAAAGTCTTAAGAAATCGGATCAATGCAGGGGTCAACCATGATTCTAGAGGACCAGCGATTTAGAATGCCGCTCTCCTGCTGACATAGAAGTGATGAACTATATACGAAGAATAAGACGCGCGGTTTTTTGGACACAGCCAATAAGAGGGTTTGTTTTCTTTTTCCATAGGGCGAGGGAAAGGTAAGTGTGAGGAAGCAATGGAAGATGCTTGTTAATTGAAATAATAAAACTTAATTTTAAAAAAAGAGTGCTCCAACAACAATTCCTCTTTCCATATAGCCTAACTTGGCCATATGATGTTTCACTTTCTTCTCACTAACCTTTGTCACTGTTTTGATAGAGGGAATATGGAAAGGCTACATGGTTGTGGAGTATCTCCCACAATTATTTGAATGCCTTATGTGACTTCTTTTTTCCTTTGATCCACTTAAAAACAGTTTTTGGGTAAGATAAAATCAACTATCATTTTGAAACACTGAAGTAAGAATCTTCAGATGGCCTTAACTTATCAGTGTTTTTTGTTTTTTGTTTTTTTTGGTAACAGAGTAACAATCCACAATTCTAGCTATGTGATTTTTGGGTTTTAAGTGAAAACACTGCTAACTGTACTTTGGTTTTCATAACTTACAGTTGAGAATGAAAACCACTGTGACTTTGTAAAGCTCCGGGAGATGCTGATCCGAGTAAACATGGAGGATTTGAGAGAACAAACTCATACCCGCCATTATGAACTGTACCGACGTTGTAAGCTGGAAGAAATGGGATTCAAAGACACAGATCCTGATAGCAAACCCTTCAGGTATCATGGCTGTTAGCACAGACTCTTGTGAAATGTTCCCAACCAGTGGTTAGGGACAACGCCTTGGTGCATTTCAAAAATCTTGGTATGTTGAGAAGTTCTGGTGTTGGGTATGTGGGAATGGAAGGCTCTCTGGATAGGGAAAAGTCTCCAAAGGTAGTTCACAAGTTTGTCACTGAGAAAGGTTAGGGAAACACTCTTGTAGTACTTAGCATGAACTCTGTACCAAAAGGCTTTGTCATTCTCACCTTGGATTGGGCGATCGACATACATCCTGTATTTGCTCATATAAGCTCTATTTCCACGTGCAAAAGTTTACAATTCTTTCTAGTTCTATATTGAAGAGGGACACTTTGACACTCCCAACTATTATAGTTTTATTGTCTTATTTCTCCCTATCGATTAGCTTTTGCTTTAAATATTTAGATGCTATACCAGTTGGTATAGATACATATACATATATGTATATATATATAAAATATAAATATATATTATATAATATAAAATATCATATATTCTATAATGATTATGTAATTATATATTAATATATAATATAATTACATATAAATATATTACATTATATAAAAATAATACATATCTTGATAATGATTCATTATACATGATGCCTTTAAGCATAACATAGTTTCTCTATTTATCTGTTTTCATCAACTGTTAACTCTTGCCTTGTCTGGGAGAACAATTGCTAACCCTAATTTTTTGAGTTCCCTTGAGGCATAATAGATCTTGATGCAGCATCTTATTTGAACTCTGTGTTAATCTTTCTGTTTCAAGAGTGTTTCTTGAAAACAACATATTGTTGGATTCTGCTTTCTGTGTGAGTTTATCCCATTTGGTTTCACAGTGCTGACTGCTAAATTGCATATTTATCCTCTCCTCTTACATGTTTCCATTTCATTTCTCTCTTCCTCTCTCTTTACAAAGAAGAGGGTGGTGAAATTGGAGTGAACTCAATACTGTTGATTTATATTTGATAAATCTGCTTCCGTTTCACTGCTTTTCTCTCCCAATTTGCCCATTCCCTGGCCACAGGTTCTTGTCATTCCATTTTTCCTTATCATTATTTCTCCCTTCATGATCTACCCCATGAAGCTGTAGTTTGTTTTGATTATGACTAATCAGTCCTTGAATCTACCTTCCCTCTAAACTCCCACTTTTCTTTCATGATTTTCTTGTCTGATATATTTCCACACCAAAGCGTGTGTGTGTGTGTGTGTGTGTGTGTGTGTGTGTGTGTTGAAATCTTCTTTTTCTGATTTAGATGAAAGTGAGGCTTATGTGACTCCCTCCTTATTAGTCTATTCTTCTTGTATGCCCCAATTATATGAAATAAGTTCTACCCCCTTCCCTCCCTAAGAGATCATCAAAACATAAACGTAATATTGACAGGCCCACTTAGCTTACTTATCTATATGACTTCTATAACCCTTAAAAACCCTTTAAAATTTTGAGTGGACACTTGTTTCTTCTTCCCTGTTAAAATTTAAACATTTAATCATTGAATAGACCTTTCATTTGCTTGAATTTATTTGTTTCTATTGATTATAGTATTTGCATAGCAAAGCTTCTACGCAGCTTTAGTGTTTTCATCAGAAATACTTGGAAGTCCCCTTTAATTAAAGGCCTACTTTTCCCCCTATGGGGAAAATTGACCACAGGTTTTCCAGGTAAGGTATTCTTGATTATGAATTTGGTCTTTTGCTTTTTGGAATATTTATTCCAGGCTCTCCTCTCCTTTATGATGGTAGTTGACAGCTCTTATTTGATTCTAACTGTATCTTTGTACTTGAACCCTTTCTTTTTCACTGCCTGCATCATTTTTTCTTTGCCCTGGAAGCTACAACATTCCTCAGGGTTTTTTCATTTAGTGGTGTCTTTCAGGATGTAACAGATAAAATCTTTCTATTTTGTTTTACTTTCCCTAGAGATCTAATCAGGTTGGGAAATGACCCCAGGGTTGTTTTCTTGTTGTAACTGGTGGGGCTTTGTTTCATGCATATGGTTAGAGCAGATGAAATTTACAAAAAGACAGTTTTTCTATTTTTTTCTGGAGCCTCTATAGGGAATAGAGGAACAATAGAGCTTCCAGGATGTCTGACTCAGAACCTTGACTTCCTAAGGCTTTGTCAGGAGTCAGGGTAATCTGCAGCTTCTCTCCTGTTTCTGCCCTTCAGCCATATCTACACAGGTCTTGTAGTATCCCCACTCAGCTTCATTATCATAGCTGATATGCATAAAGCATTTTAATATTTACCAAGCATTTGACACATATTTCTTCTGCTGTCACAACAACCCTTTGAAATGTGCACTTACTTATTTTTGGTATTCAGAAAAAATTTTTTTTCTATTTCTTGATCTCCTTAGGTTGTTGTGAGGATCAAATGTAAGAAATCATAGGGATGGTTCAAAAAATATTGACCATAGTGGAAATTAAAAAAAAAAATAGGTTTTATACAGGGCACTAAGAGATTTTATTAACTATTAATAAAATTAAATTTTTATTGAACTAAATTCAAATAGGAAATGGGTCTAGGGGGCTTCATGAAGTGGAGTTGACTGTTTCTTGTTCAGTCTTTTCTTTAAAGAAGAGGCCACTTCATTTCGGCTACTTGTGCTCTTTTATTATAGAGTTAATATGGAAGTTTATTCAAGGTTAACAGAATTCATACTAATTCATCTAATTGTCCACCACTTCCTGAAATCTTTCACTCTCTCCCATTTGACATTTTTCTCATATAATCAAGAATCTGTTTTATGTATATTTCCATGGATCTTATATTTAGAGCTGGAAGGGTCCTTATAGGCCATCAAATCTAATGCCTTCATTTTACAGATGAGGAAACTGAGGCACAGAGGCTCAGTGACTTGTCCAGTCTATATAGCAGATCTTGTACACCACACTCCTTGGTGCCAAGGTTCCAGAGTTCTTCAAGAGGATATTGTACCACTTAAATGGTCTTAGGACTATGAGAGCCCAACCTTAGGGATGTGAGAAGCCTGGCATAGGTAGCACTGGAGGAAGACCTTAGTGTAAGCAAAAGGAAAAAATACCCACCAAGAAGGAAGAGAGTGGAAAAAAAACAAGCAATGTGATGGTTCCCTGAAGGAGTGTAGAATTAGTGTGATATGCGTTGTTGGGGTAGGGTTGAAGTGGATGTTAATGAGAAAGCAGACGGTAGAGTTTAGAATCCAGGGGGTTGGGATTCAGAATCGCAAGGATGAGGAGTTAGAAGGGGTGGGAGTCCAGACAGTGGATGCCTTTTATAAACACAGATGAGTAGAATATTCTCCATTTGGTTTTGCTTCACGGTTTCCCTGTCTCAGTATCCTTAGAGTAGGCATGGTGCTCTGAGCTCCAGGAGAAGTGCATAGGTCCTCAAGACTAGCTGTTCCCCTCCTCACCACCATTTCTTCCTTTGCTCAGGCTGGTATCTGAGGAAGCCATGGTCCTCCCATCCAAGGCCCACCCTCCCCCCTTCTACATGTACCCTTGATGCCATCCTTCACCAACTTCTCCAGCAAATTGCTCCCATCCTCATTCCCTCTCTAATTTTTAATCTCTCCCTATCTATTGATTCTTTCCCTGATACCTTTCCTTTTTTTAGATTTCACACAGACAACTGCCCTTCTGTTTTTGCAATTAATTGGATCATAAGGACAAGATTAAGGACTGAACCTGTGATTACACTGGTATACAGAACACCCAGATGAGTGCATTTTTGCACCTTTCTGGCAACTTATAGTCTTAGAGAGTTTCCTAAAACAATGAGAGGTTACGTGACTTTCCCAGGGTCACACAACTAGCGTTTGTCAGAGACAACACTTGGCACTCGGGTCTTCCTGGCTCCAAGGATGGCTTTCTCTATACTTCATGACAGATGCTTCTGAGGATTCCTGTCTTATCTAATATGAGTTAGAATATATTCTCTTTGATGAGATTTGGGAAACACTGTTTTTCTTGATGGGGAGACCAAAGACATCCTAGTATTTAGCAGTTCATTTGCAGACTGCATCTTTGGGTGGTTTGTTCCGGAGGTTAGCTCGTCTCATTTACCTTGGGCTGGTCCATACAGGTTTAGCCTTCACATTCTGACCTCACCCCTCAAGATTCTGCAAGCACAGGCCCTATAGCTCTCCCTATACACCAACCATCATGTTGTCCTTGTTTTCTGGTCCTTTAACAGCCTTCAGGAGACGTATGAAGCAAAGAGAAACGAGTTCTTGGGAGAACTTCAGAAGAAAGAGGAAGAAATGAGACAAATGTTTGTCATGAGGGTGAAAGAAAAAGAAGCTGAACTTAAAGAGGCGGAAAAAGATGTGAGCAATCACTCCTAATTCTTCTCTTTTTTATGATTCCATCATGCTACCATGTATTTGCACAGCTCTTTATATTTTTCCAAAGACTTTCTCAGGCACTTGAGCCTTATGACAACTGTGAGAGACGTGTAGGACAGGTATTATTGCCCCATTTGACAGATAAGCTTACTGAAGCCCTGGGTAGTTAAATGAATCTCCCAAGGTCCCACCTGGCATTTAGCACCATGGTTAGGGAAAAGAACACAGCTCTCCTGACTCCTAATCCACTGTCTCCAGATGAGACCTGATAAGGACAGAGTATAGTGAGATCGTCACCTGTCTATTCCTCTCCTAATGCAGCCCCAAAACTACATTAAATTTGGCTCTCACATCATACTGCTGACTCTCTCAGGTGGAGCTTGTGGTCCATTATAATCCCCAGATCCTTTTAAGAAGAAATGCTATGTATCCGTGCCTCCCCCAACTTCTGTTTGTAAAGTTGATTTTTTTTTTTGTGCCCAAGTACCAGACCTTATCCTTATTGAATTTCACCTTATTGAATTGATACAATACTCCAGCCTATCAAGATCCTTTTGAATCCTGTGTCTTCTGGTGTGATACCTATCTTCTATACCTGGCATGATCTGCAAATTTGATGAGCATGTATCTATGCCTTCATCCAAGGCCCTAACAAAAATTTGAAATATCATAGGACTGAATATGATTTAAGAAAAAAAAATTTTTAATACCCAAAGAGACCCAGATAAGCAAGGATATTCTTTAACCTCTCATATAAATAAATGTAATAAATATATGAAAACAAAACCTTTAATAAATATGAGAACCAAGCCTGACGCCAATCAGAGAAAAGCACTGGTACGGTCAATCCTTGAAAACAAAACATCATTTGCGGTAGCTGACACTCATTCCCCCAAACCCGTTACTGTCTCTTCCATGTCTTGTCCAGCTTCATGAAAAGTTTGACCTCCTCAAGCGGACGCACCAGGAAGAGAAGAAGAAAGTGGAAGACAAGAAGAAGGAGCTCGATGAAGAGGTCAGCAACTTCCAGAAGAAGAAGGCGGCCGCTCAGCTCTTACAGTCACAGGCTCAGCAGGCTGGGGCCCAACAAACCAAGAAAGACAAAGACAAGAAAAAGTAAGCAGGGTCACCCTCACAGCCTCACGGGGCTGGTCCAGTCACCTTTCCTTTGCATGTCTGTACTTGCCTTTTGTCTTATTTTCAGACTGGAAACTGGTGTTTTGACCAGTCTGCCTGAAGGAAGTACTTTCTCTCCGGAGCAGGGAAGACAAATAGAGGCTTTCACATTTTTTTTAGGGTACCTAAAATTAATTTATGAAATCTGTGCTCTGCAACAGAAACTTCCGCATCAACTTTACGATTCTTTGGAATGATGTTCAGTGTTCTGTCTTTAACAGCAACAAAAAACATCTGATGACTGTCTTTATAACGAACGTTCTAAAAATTATGATTGCTACTATTATTTTCTTATTCTTATCCATGCAGTTCTCAATAAGCTAATCACTGCAGATATTACTGCCAGTTAGAGATGTTGGGAAGAGTTTTCAGAGGACCTACTTGTTCTCACAATTTAAGATGACATACTGCTCTATTTTCAAAACTAGACAAAAACGTAATGTGGCTTTAATTTGTTAAAGGGACCTGATTCTGCTCTTGGGTTGCTGGATACCTTTTGAGGACTATAATAAGTATATAGGAATTGGTCCCCATCCAAGTGGCAATTTGGGTCTTCCCTGAAAATTGGTTATGATTGGAAGCAACTGACCGAATAACCTTGGATGAAGATAAGTTAAGAAATTCAGTATTTTGATTGCAAGTGGACATTGCAATGGTCATGGCAAATGCCAGCAGACTTGATGAGCCATAGCTAATGAAAATAATTGTGTGTGCTACCTTACTTTGTCAGTAAGTGTATTGTGACCGGTAGGTACCTTTCTGCGAAAGGAGAACTGGTACCAGAGCTTCAGCTCTGCCGGTCCACATCCTAGCACAGAACTGTGCTTTTAGGAGAACCTCTGTGCAGCTTTTTAACCCGTAACCAATGATATTTGTTTTTTTTAAAGGCCAGGACTCAATATGGGAAAGCACTGCCCTCTTACCAACAGTTTAAAGGGGGCAGAGGCTCTTTCAGTTATCCTAACCACAGGGAGATGGGTAATGACAGCAATGCTGAGCTTAATTAATATTGAGTAGATTTAGACTTTGCTTCCTTGTCCTCCCCAGTTTGTCTGTGGCTAAAAACACAAATGCAGAGCTATAGCACCACAACGGATGAACCCAGGAATGAATATTTATTTTCAAGACTGTACATTAAAACTGACTTTGTGTTTCCATGCTCTGAGCCAACAGAAATGGTACAGAGAGAACAAGGGAGAGATGGAAAGATAGTCAGGATGTCTGAGACACTGTGGAAGAAGAGGGTGGAAGTGGCTGGAGTGTGTGTGTGTGTGTGTGTGTGTGTGTGTGTTTATGGAGGCATGACAATGTGCCGGAGCTCTGCTGAACAGAAGAGCCCGGAGGACCTAATGTTTTTAGTGCTGGAGTCATCTCAGGAGTGAAAACACAGCAAATTTTAATCCACTCCAAGGAAACACATTGCTTTTGAGCTTAAGAGCCAAGCATCTGGTTCCCGTTGGCGTAGCTAATGGAGATGGCTTCCAGTTGAAAATACTACAGCTCTTCCGATGAGATAAATACCTTGGGTGTTCCAGCTTAACCTATGAGAAAAGGAACACGTATGTTTACTGATGTGTGCATGTATGTTGGAGAGCAAATGGAGAGAGGCAGCTGCTGATGCTAAGAAAATCCAAATTTGAAGTTGAGTTTTTTGTTTGTTTGTTTTGCCTCTGACGCACATAAGTGCATAAAGAGATGTTTCAAATATGGATTTAAAACAAAGAATATGAATTGAATATGTGTTTTAAATATGAATTTAAATACAAAGACCAGCAGTGTGAAAAGAGCTTTTTCATTTTCATATGTACTTTGGTGTGCCTTTAAGCAATAAAAATTCCAAAAGCTGAACAGTATTGTGCCTCCATTTAAAAAAAATAATAATAATTCCATCTAGGAGCAAACTTTATAGTTTTTGGAAAACTCTTTTTAACCTATGTGCACAATGCTTCATTAAGGCAGTTTCTTCACCACCCATTGGCCCTAGCAGTTCAGAATGTTTTTTCTCTAATGACAATGTAAAGTATGTAATATAGTATTCTTTTCCCCTCTCCCACTTATAGATTCCAATTTAGAATTAGTATAATTGAATTAGCTAATTTGGCTTACAGTATGCATTAGTTTTGTGCTGTGGACAAGCATGTTCCTGTGTGATAGCTTCCGGGTTCACACTGGGGTTCACACTGGCCTCCACACGCCTAGCATCTTTTCCATTTCGACAAAATGATTGCTAGCAGAGGCCCGGACCATGAAAAAAAAACAGAATAAAAACCAGACCTAGAGCATTACCAGTGGCTACAGCCATTTGGAGACTTTGAAAGGCAGTCACAGGGGTTAAACATAGCACTTTGTAAACGCTTCAAAACGCAGCTGATTCTGGAGTGCCCACACTTGCCAAGGATTAGCTAGCTTTACTTTAAATAACACACCAAAAAGAAAATAATGATTTTTCTGTAGACTGTGCTCCATGTTATAGCCTGTCTTGGTTTTTCTAAAAGTTTTTAATTTTGTTTTTCTACTCTAATGAAATGCTCCCTTTTTGTGTAGGTAAGGCTTTTTTTTTTTTACTTCTTATCTGTAACTGTAGTGGCATGACAACTTAACATTTCTGTAAGATTATTGCAAAAGTAGAACTAATCTGGGCACTGCCATTAGCTGGATCCCACACCATCCCCAGGCACAGACACCCATCTCTATTTGCCACTGAGATGCCAGTGCCAAGCCGCATCTATACGCAGGGTCATAGAACAGACATCTCTCTGTTCTTTTATTGAATCAGCAAGAATCAGCAGGCATTAGCTGATAAGCATCGATCCCAGAACCAGGTTTTTAAATCTGTCTCTTGAAACCTAGTGTCGTGGTGATGATATCTGAGGACCACATTCTGCAACAGCCTGCAATTCGTCTTTGTAAAAATAATTGTTAAATTCCTTACCAAGGAATAAGGATGCATGCTTCAACCTGTCTTAAAAAAAAAAAAATAGAACCTTTCCCAATGTACATTTTTAAGTTTTGCATTGCTTCATACTTAAACGTGGATGAAAGCTCTTGGCATTGCTGTAGCGATAACATGACCAGTGATCATCTTTTTTTTCCCTTTCCTGGGGGAAAAAAAGGATACATGTGTATGTGTGTGTGTGTGTGTGTGTGCGTGTGTGCGTGTTCACAATAGATTAATAGCATGCTTCTTCCTCTTTCTGTTCCCATCTATGTTTTCCTCCTCCCTAAGTCTACAGTATCAGCCCTTTCCCACAAGGAATGCTGCCATTTTAAGACAGTTATTATGCCTTTGTCCTTTGACTTTTTGGTGGGCCTTGAAAGTGTTGCTTATGCGGGGTGCACAGTTGTTACTATCAAAGATTCCTTTCAGTATAGATCAGGGATCCTCTTGCAGTCACCTGAGAAAAGGTTGAGCGGCGGGATCCGTCCGCTGGAATTTGTAGCCAATTCAGCAAGTCATTTGTGAAGTCAAAGCTTCATGCAAATGAAAACTAACCATGTGTTTCTTAATTCATTTTTTTTGAATTTTGCTTTTGCCTGTCATCTAGAATAGATTGCTCAAATTTTGACCATTTTAATTTCTGTCAAATCCATCATTGTTGCATGAGCAGCCACCATCGCTCTGACGCTGGTGTTTTCGCTCCTAACACTTTTTTTTTTCCTTTTGGTTTTATTATCATTTCTAACTTTTTTGTTTTGTTTTTTAACTTGCAGTACAAGCTTCACATAAAGCCTGGCAAGCCAAGGATGTTCCCGCATTCACCTGCTTTTGCAGTAACGTGTCCCTGCCATCTGTGTTCTGTTTTTTTGTTTTACCCGCCCTCGCCCCCTTCCCCCTTTTCCCCAAGCACCAATAACTCTTTTAACTCATTTCACTGGAGGTGGGTGGTGGGAGAAGGTAGAAAAGGGAAATGATGGTAACTGCTATGTTCACCTGGGTTTCGTCTCTGGAAAGTAAATGGTTTGCCTTTTATGTCAATTCAGAACAGTCACAGTTGAGCACGCCTGTTACTTGTATGTTGCTTTGGAATGAATGGGGAAGTAGTGTACATTAAGTGCCATCGTGTTTGACGTGGAAACTGTTCTCACCACCTCACCAGCTGAACTAAAACCCGAATGACCATGACTTGTACCCATGACTGCCCGATGCCCACGTCCACTCTGCCTCTTCTCTTTCCACACCCTCCTCCCAAGTCCGGTAGCTTTTTGCTGAGACAACACGATGGGTAAACAAAGCATGATTTGGATTGCATTTTTCAGTTTAGTACAGGTTGCTTGTCAGCCTCCCTAGAGCGTCAGACTGCCTCATTTCACTGTTTTAAAAACGAAGCTGGATTCATGATTCTCAAATGTTGGAAAAGTTCAGGGAGGATTATTCCAAGGGCTTTGAGCATATAACTCTCCATCACCAGCATACCCTAGTTTTTTGGGGAAATTACAAATAGCTGTTCATATGCCATCTTTCAGTGAAAGAATACACAAGATCAAAAAATTTTTCCCATCCTTTCAGCTTAAGATAACAAATCTCATCTCCAGTATTTGAATTTGTTCTCCATGGGAAAATCAACATTATCTCCTAGTGGCACAATAACTTCTTGTGCTATTGGATCTATCCAGAAGACTTCCAAAAAACACTATTTTCAGCAGCCACTTCAGTATCATCCCAGATAAAACAGTCTAGGATTAACTCTTCAGCCTTTGGACTTCCATATTTCAAGGGACCTTGGGACCTACACATTAGAAAAAGTCAACTTGAATCAAGAAATGAAAACTCAGTTCCCCTCCCAACTAGCTTCTCTGCCCTATCCCATGTGTACCACTTGGCTGTCAAAAGACAAAGAGAGTAGATGCTTCTTGGAACCCAGCAGGCTTCCGGGAATTCCCCTTGCCTTCTCTATCACTGCAGTCACTCACATAAATCTTTTCTATCTCTTAAGACCATGGATGTGGTGCCAAGGGTGCCAAGCAGGGGAATCAGAGAGAATGTAAATAAGCCAGTAGCCTTCCAGAGTTTTTAAATATATTCATAGTCTTCTGTCCTAATTGATATAAAAAACAAATTTAACTACTTAAGCTGGGTACTGTACTTTTAGACATCCCTCCCATCCCCCTGCCACCTCTGGAAACAACATGAAATAGCTTCCTGAGTTGGCCCTCCTAACTTTCTGGTGCTGGGACATGCCAGCTTTCCCTTTGCTCCTAGCTAAGTACTCTCCTGTTTCTCACTTTTTACATGTAACACATTTCTCTTTGGAATTCAGATCTTCCAGCTCTTCTTGCCTTTCTCCTAGTGCCTTGCCAAGGTAGAATGGCTAGTGCTTTGGTTTTTTTTTTGTTTAAACTGCCTCTCCAGGCTGTTGAAGCAGAGGACTTTTGTTTAGCCTCCCTTCTCTTTCCTACCCTGAACCAACCGTTTTTTATAAAACTTCTTAGGGCAGGGAGAATTTCCAGGAACTGATTTGGGGCCATAGAGGGAAAGCTCTCGGGGGAAACCCTTTCGAAGCTCAAAAATACACTAAGAATGTGAGCTTCAAATCTAGGAGAAGCAGCAGTATGGACCTAAGACAGGTTTAACCCAATCTCCATGGGGTGCTCCTGCAGTTCTCATATGAACTCTAAGCCATTGGAGCAGCTGAATTCTAGGAATTTTTCTCGGCATGATGAAACCAGTTTCCTAACCGTGGGCTGCATTTTCTCATGCACTATACTAAAAGTCAGAAACTCAACCGCTTGTGTGACGTGCTTGCACCAGCTGCTTTGTGTGTCTTTTTTGTGCCTCACTATAGGAATTAAAATTGTTTCCTTGTATCACTAAAGCCTTTTTAAGGTAGCTTAGCCGTGAAAAGGCATCCAATCAGCCATTTTGACTTTTTGGCCCAAAGCTGTGACTGGATTCCATTAATAATCTCATTAGTTTTTTGGGGTTTCGGGGTTTTGTTTTTTTTTTTAAGATATTTTAATGTGGCCACTAACTTGATTTTTACTGCTATCCCTCCCCTGGCCCTCTTGAGCTTGTCACTGCTGCTCGTCTTTTCTTTCTGTATTTATGCCTTTTTTCACAGTAGTCCTTGGCTCTGCACGGAATAAATGATACCCTCAAATCTAATTGGATGTACTTTCACCTCTGCATGTAAGTATGGGAACAAGAAGCCTCTTTGACCTCTCAGCCTTTAAAAAAATTAATGAGTGGGACAGATGGGATGGGGGTTGGGGATCTGTTTCATCCTGTTAACTTGAGCAGCACCAGAACGATAGCCCTCATCATTAATGCCTCATGAACTTAGATTCCCCCGAAGTCAACGTGGAAGTCTTCCGTGGCTTGTCACGTGGTGAGACCATACAGGGAGCATTATCTGACATCACAAAGGGCTTTAGGTGGTACAATCATTCCTCACTGCCAAAGAAAAGTGACCTTTCTGAATATAGCCTCCACTGAGCAGTATCTTTAGCATGAAGTATTAGTGCCCTTTCATGGGATTGCTGGAGTGCTGGCAGCTGGCAGTGACCACCATTTTGCCTCTGGATCAAGATTTTGCTCCCTCTAAGGCTTTGACGCCAATGGCTTGGTAGCAAGTGAGATACAGGGTGGAACAGCAAGTGATGAGAGTCATTCAACGTGTTTTTACAATCCAGGTACATTTGTAAAAACAGTAGAATGTGATGCCTGGACCAAGGGAGATCTGGAACTAGAATTAGGTTAGGGGTACAAGTTACCTGTTTTTCTTCTTTCCCTGCTTTGTAACCTCACAAGCTGATGACATTTGCTTAACCTCATCACCTTCAACCCCCATCAACAAGAGGTTTGGTTCCTTCACGTCCTCTCCTTCCGTCTCCACCCCCACAAAATGTTTTATAGACTGTTCAGTCAGGTTTTTCTACTGTTACTTACTCAAGCCCACTTGTCTCTGTGTGGTCCTACCAATCCTGTCCATTCAAGTCACTTTGCCCTGCCATTCTTCATCATCTGAAATAGTTAACGTTTCCTAATCCAAGAATCATGGTTCCATTGGCAGGCCACCTGTGAGATGATCTGTCCAACTAGTGGGATTGGCATCTCCAAAGCCTAGCGTATGAGATAATATGAAGGGAATTTTTTTTTAAAATGAACTGAAAATAAAGCTGTGAAGAGCAGTAGAACTGTTTCCTAATTTTTAAAACTATGCTGATATGCCTTAAACTGTAGCAGTAGACTCTTGCCACTGTGCTGTTTAAAAAAAGTCAATGTTTTCCCAAACCTTGTTTCCCAAAACTTCCATTCAGTGTTGATACAATATTGTTAGACACGTACACAGCATGTTAAACACTTGTAAATTTAACAAAAAAAAAACCTAAAGTTTCTGTATTGATGTCAAACATTTCATTTCTGAAGTGCTGATCACTTTACAATTTTGTTAGGTAGGGGGATAGTGAAAAGGTAACCTATGCATACATCTATAGTGCCAAGACATGAAGGGGGAAATATATTTTTACCCAAACATTGTGTTTTGTGTGCCCTCTGTGATTTCTTTCTGTAACACTGTGTATCAGAGTTGGAAAACAAATTGTGGGAATAGTCTTCTCATCCTTTCTTACCTTGTCTGGCTCATCTATTATGACTATTTTGGCTTCATCGACTTCACCAAAATGTTGACTTTCGTGGTGTCCTATACCTTGCACACCATTTCTGCTGCCTTCCCTCCTGGTTCCCATCCCCTGCTCCCTGTGCTGACCAGAATTCCTATCACAGCCCGCAGCCCCTTTTCATGGCCACAGCATCCTCTTCCTCCCTAGTCCCTGATACTGCTAACTGAACCACACTCTGGCCATGCTTGATGAAAATCCCTTTAATTGACATACTTTCATTCCTTCACAGCTTAAAAAGTAGAGAAGCTACTTTTTAAAAGCATTTGAATCTGAACCTCTCTTTTTTCTCTTCTGTAGCTTCTTCTTTATGTAATCATCATGTTGACAAGCCCTACTCTCTCCTAATGGACAGTAGCGCATTAGAAGAGCAGGAGTTGTATGTACACACCTGTTGGGGAAGAGTTACCTCATTTCCACCATCGCCTTTCCTTTTATACTGTGGGTCAAATATCGCACTGCTGTGTCTATTTGTCAGTGTCTGCTTGCACACCACTGGTTACAGTGTGTACTCAACTAAATTTTCACCTCCAAAACGAAAATTAAAGATAAAAAATTCAAGTGGAACACAACGTAGGCCAAGAACCATGGCATCACACTGAAATACTCGTTAAACTGTAAAATGTATAGTGTTGTTAATCGGAGAACAAGAGGCGTATAGACTGGGGACAGTGTGTGTACCCAAAGGAGACGGCCACAGACTGCTATTAACACCCCTACAAACTTAAAGCTAATTCTCACTCTAGACCTGAGAGCAATCATAACCAGGACTCTCAGCGATCAGGTGCTTAAATCTCGGAAGCTTTTTTTCTTGTTAGTTTTGGGGGTGGCTTGGTGTTTGGTTTGGGGTTTTTAAAACTGATAAAATATTGCATGATCAGAGATGCCTACCATTTTCTATATGAAGTATTGTACTGACAAAATTTTATTTTTCCTCTAACGTTCTAAGAGAGTGAAATGGGCATCTTTCTTGTACATTCAAGACCCATTGATTGTTGTGTTTGATTTAGAGTATTTTTATGGTATGGTACCTGGAACCCTGTAACAGGTTATTTGGGTGTTTTTTTTTTCCTTTAACTTGAAGTAAGCCACATATGATTTCACAAATATGCTGTCTAAAGTGTAGGTCCGATATCAAAAGTGTACCCACCTTTACATTCAACTAGGAGGTGGTTTACTAAGTGAAGAATGAGTGCCAAAAGTTTTTAAGGTGGGCCTGATCTATTTACATACCCTTTTCCTTATTCTGCCAGATATCGCAGAGCCTTTATGTGTTATTAGATCATTGATCTTAGCCTGTTTTTAATCAGGAGTTTCAAGATAAAAGAGAAATGAGGTCGAAGCAGAGCAAATGCCTAGGATGACAACAGCTAGTAAACTGTAGCCTACTGTCACCTTGCCAGTCCATTTTTCCTTCTGGTTGCAGAAGAGCCATCACCCGAGATCCCATATCAGGCCATCCTAATGAAAAGCTCTCTTCCCCACCCCCCACCCCTTTGGTCCCCATCTCGAACTTGATATGCCTCTCTCACCTCCATCCTCTTACAAGGTGGATTACATTTCTGCCTCTGTGTGATTCAGTTCACTTTTGGTGGGAAAAGTCACACCATAGTTATCGAGCATTTTGTGTCCTTTCTTTGGGGACTCTTGCTTCACTCTGACTTCTTTGAGGGTACTTAAGTAACCTGGATTCTATAAGAACATCCCCAAAGTTTCTTCTTACTTGTAAAGGTGGTCAAACCTATTGCAGAATACCAAAGTATAGATTGGATAGTTTTATTTCATTTACACACACACACACACACACACACACACACACACACACACACACACCATAACAAACTACTCCCTCAAACCCATTCACTTCTAATACTACATTTGGGATAGACCAGATTTGTTCCCTGGTCACTGTATAAAAAGTCCCATTTTCAAGTGTTGATAGTTAACTCAAAACTTTCACCCTCATACCAAGTTAAGTTCTTCATAGATCTATCCATCCATTTCATTATTTCTTTTTGATATATTGCCTCATTCCCAACTTACTGTCAGCATCCCCATGCTCTTCAGCAGCATGAGAATTCAAGTTGGAGGCCTTTCACTTAACCACTCAGGAGTAGTCCCAAGCTAAATCCTACAGTGAAATAAAGGAAGAGTGCAGTGTGCCTTCCTTTGCCTCTAGCAGGTGAACATTTCATATTCAAGTCACTTCTCTATAGCAGACACCATGTGAGACCCTGAATGGCTGCTTAGAGCAATTAAATGAGAATACTGAACAAAGTCTTACCTTTATACACCTGGAATTTTCATAAATAATAGGTTCATCTGAGCTAGAAAATTTCTTGTCATCATAAGGGTACAAACTCCATTTGTCTATAAGAATCTATTGCTCAGATCAAAGTCTCCTACACGGAATGTGATAGTTGGCTGGAAGAGGAATTTGTTGGTTGAAGCCAGAGCCTAATAGAGCTCCAGTTCATGAAGTGACAAATCCATGTATGTGAAATAACATGCTTTCCAAGATACTTTGGCTAACCTAACTTCATTTTAAGGTTCACGAATTCCCTTGTTTCAAAACCTCTACAGGAAGTGACTGTCCAAGAAATTTATTTTAAGATCATTTACTAAACTCTTTTCTATTATTCAAGTATCATACATATATACATAATTCATTCCTATTAATGACCATACATATACACAATATTATGCCACCTTTCATGATAACAAGAGGCTCCATGCAGTACTACATAATACCAATGATATTTATTATTACTCAGCTGAAATTGGCACAAACACACAATAATGGGTTTTACTGGCCAAGTACACTACAGTGTATTGTTAGGGGGAAAACCTTGCGGGTATCTGAACAGGAGATGCTCAGGTTAAGTAAACTGTTGAACACCCAGTATATAATTATGATTAAAAGGATTTTTACTAACGATTGTTGGCCAAAATGTAAAGATGGACTGCTCCTAGATTGACATAGCACACAGAAATAAGAATATCTCTTCCTTTGTACACGGAGTTGAAGCAGCTAAGAACACATCACAATTAGCCCTCTGCCACGTTTGACCAAAAGGGCAAGTCTGATCAGTCTCACATCCCTGAAAAAAAAATTATACTGGGTTCTCTCGGTTATTTCTCTATGTATCCCACGTTCTTGGCTCACTACTGGCAAAACTGTTGATTATTTTAAAAATTAAGTGCAAAGTCAGTTTAATGTCCTATCTGAAACTTTTATTTCTGTCATATGCTCATCTGGTCTAATGAATGTCAATTCTCTCCTATTGGATTGGCAGTGATGCCTATTCACTTCTAACATCTTGTCTTTGAATTCTTCACCATGGTGTTCATGCCTCTTTCTTAAGTCTTTTAGACTTACATAGTCAAGCAATAGTGGTGGAAATTACCATTTTTATTGGAGAATCCCTTATGTTAAATTATTAGCATGATGTTCAAAAATTGGTGAAATACAAGGAGGAGGAGGTCTCTCCCAGACAATAGTTTATCTCTTTTTTTCCACCTTTCATTTACATTACTGCGTAATGAGAAATGAGAGCAGCTAGGTGTCACAGTGGATAAAGCGCCAGGTCTGCAGTCAGGAAGACCCGAGTTCAAGTATGGCCTTAGACAATAGCTGTGTGAGCCTAGGCAAGTCACTTAACCCCGTTTGCCTTAGTTTCCTGATCTGTTAAATGACCCGGAAAAGGAAATGTTTTATCTTTGCCAAGAAAACTCCAAATGGGGGTCACATAGACATGACTGAAACAAATGAAAAACAAAAAACCAATGAGAAGTGGTCAGCTCTGGATTCTCTCATGGAATATCTTTTGAGATAAAACTAACTCAAACTGGAACAAATTCTGTTTCTATAGTTTGGTGGTAGCATTCAATAACATTGAGGTTTTTGACCCACTTTCCTTTCACAAGTTAGGCATCTATTCAGAATTATCCAGGTGAGGACCTGGAAAGCAAGAGGGAAGTCACTGCAGACTGAACTACCCTACCTTCTGCCCTTTGTTACGGACAGCCACTGCAAATGGCAAAAATGTAATAGTAAGAGAAAAAGAACACAGGATGGCTAGGTTAATTTACCTATACAGAAAACTGGCTTGCAGGGTTCCCTCCCTTCTTCCTCCACCCTCTCCTCCCCACCATCTTGCTTTTTAGATATCCAAGGCTTCCACTGGAATCTGCCAACTGAAGAACCTAAGAGAATCTGACATAACAAGTCTTCACTCTTCATGCTCTCATAAACACAGGAAATGCTACTTATCCTTTTATGTGCCATAAAATTCATTTTTGAAGAAAGGGATTAGAGCCTAGAAATGATGAGCCTCCATGTGGATTCTTTTACTTCTAAGGACTACATGGATCACATTTTGAAATAAACATAAAAAGCAAAACACCAAACCTGAAACAGAATGGGCTGGCTAATGACAGACTTTGATTAGCAAGACAAGCCTCCTGAGAGATGAGAAAACTATTACATAAGCAAACAAGATGTGCTTCCTGAAACTTAGGTTCCAATAGGAATAGATGGTACACCAGTGCGGGAAACTTGAGGCTCATACAGAAGGCGTTGCTCTTCTCCCGAAGCAGTCACCTTTACACCCCGCCCCCTTTTTAGCCATCTAAGTGTTTTCCCACCAATTTAACTATCCAGTCAAGCATCCTTTCTGAGCCCCGAGGAGTCTGGTATTTATCCTACCCTGTTAGGAGAGTTCAATTTTAAGAGTTAGGGAGAGCCTAGATCCGTTTTTTTTTTTTTTTTAATTTCCATCTCTGGGAGTGTATGAGGACGAAGGAAGTATTTTGTTTTCCACTGTCATAAATAAGGAGAATAGCAACATTAAAGATGATCACTTTTGATCAAATAGTGTTCTTATCCTCCCTTTCTTGCAAGATGATGGGAAATAAACAAAAATTTGTGTAGCCCCCTTCCACAA